GGTTTAGGGGTTTGGGTTTAAAGTTTAGGGGTTTAGGGTTTAGGGGTTTAGGGTTTCGGGTGTAGACCCTAGAACCCTAATACGAACCCCGGCCCCGCTTCGATTCCCTCTGATTCATTCCTAAACCCTAGAACCTAGTACGGATCGCGGCCCCACTTCGATTCCCTCTGATCTCCGAAACCCTAGACCCCTAATATGACCCCGGCCTTGCTTCCAATTCTATCTAGAGCTGATTTCCTCAACCCGAGACCCTTAATCTCGATCCCAAGATTAGCACAGCAGGTGCGATGACAGGCTGGGCAACCAAGGTTATGCTGCCTATTGGTGATTTCAGCAGGTTCCACACCGCTTCTGGTGATCCAGCATGTAGCTGTTCCGCATGCCACTCATTTCAGATAACTGTGAAGCTTCTATCCTGGGTCAGGCCTTGTGTGTTAGAAGGTTTCGCAGCCTATGCTCTAGGTAAAGATTGGGTTTCAGGGTTTAAAGGAATTTGGTAAGGATATATGAGATAGACATGCTTCATAACAGCTTTTATATTTATATATATATATCGTAGGGTCGTCGCATCTAGCTTCTACATCGGTCATGCAAGTATATATGTGAAAGAAATCTGTGAGCACTAGGGTTTTAGTGGTGAGTTTGGGCTCCGTGTCTTAGGATTGGGGTATTGTAGCCGTATCCACTGAAAGCTTCATTGCAGCATCTACTGCTGACTCTTCACTAGATGCGCTAAGGCTGGAACCATGGCCCTCTCCAAAACCCTAAACCCTGAACCCTAAACCCTAAACCCTAAACCCTAAACCCTAAACCGAGACCCTTAACCCTTCAAACCATTCCTTTGAAACCCCCAAACCCTTCAAAACAGTCTTCAAGCCTGTATACAGTAATACTATTTATTTGTATATACACCATATATTGCCGCGTGGCCAACCATGTAGTAATCTCCTAATTTCAACCTGAACCTCACCTCAAACCCGTGCACCGAAAGCCCGGTAAAATCCATGTACAGACCCGTGAACGAGCCAGCAGTAGAATCGTCCAGCCAGATCGGAACGAAGGCCGAATTGTGAATTAGGCTTGTCATAGCAGCACGTACCCAAATCAGCAGACTAGTAGAATATGTCCCAAGCGGAGTACCTTAATTGCCCGCGCATATCGCCCCTGGCTGCTCCTGCTAGTCGACTAGACGAATTTAGGCTCAGGGAATTACTTCGGGTGTGCAGGTCTCAGGGTCGTAAGCCCCTGGTTGTCTCAGGATGAGACTTGAAGTATCTTTCAGATTACACGTTATGGGTGCTAGTTACTAGACCATCCTGTAACAGATGCTTTCGGTTGTATAAATTAATTTGGGGGTGGGCATGACTTTTGGGCCGGTGTAGTGCCGGGTTAACTCAACAACAGAGACTGTAGGCCCAGGGCTCGGATTTGGGTGTTTTGACCGGGCATAAAGTCCACAACCCAAGGTCCTGAGCTAGATCTCCCAATAAGGTAGTCGCAAACAGCCGGTGAACTTGCAGCCGCAGAATCCCTCAAAAGGCTGCCAACACTTCCGACATTAATGCTTAGCACGAATTTATGTACTGCGAGGCTCTGGGAGCTGCTGACTTCAAGCAAATTAGCAGAGGCCAGGTCATCTTGGGCATCCAGTCACTTCAGTCATTACATGGCACATCCTAGAGATCGAGCAACTGCTCTTTGGAGACATGTAGTATACGTCTGCAGAGCAGGGAATTCCATGTACATGTCGGGTCATCATATGGTGTAGCTGTGCACACTGAAGGCCTAGCTTCGAGTCTACAGGCACCTAGCCCCTAGCTAGTCGCACTCAGGATCCCAAAACACTGGCCTTGTATGATTCAAAAATCTGCTGCGATGGTGCAACCTGTACCGGGATTAAGGGATCAGGCTTGTAGAGACCACGGGAAGCAGCCTGCTGCAGGAGGGGCAAGAAGCTGTCCAGGGCGGCCCGATCCCATAGGTCAGCTGGTGGCTCCTGAACAACAACATTTATATACAATGACCCTTTCATTATCTAGCGGCTGATCATCGGCTCCAAGTGCCAAGTACTAGTCGGACAAGCACGACAGAACCGACCCCTTAGGTCACATACAGGATCCCTTAGGATCCCTTAAAGGCAAGTCCTCCCATCCACTGTTCAGGATCATGAGGAGCATCGCGCGGGAGCTGGGCTCCTGCTGGCATTCCTGAGATGCAAAGTGCAGTCTGCAAGAGCCGGCATAGGCTTTTGAGGCTTAGGGTATTTAGCTGGGCATCGACTGGATTTTAGGATTCAGGGTCGAAGAGGGTTTGGGGTTTAGGATAGAGAGTTTTAAATGGGATTTAGGTTGAGGGCTTGTAGGTTTTGGGTGCTGGCTTTGGTTGGTTTGAAGCCAAATATTCTCTATAGAGCAGAAACACCTTAAAGAGTCAAACTCATTATAAAACATGAGGGCACCCAAGATTCCTGCCACTCCACATGAAGTTTGGCTACACGTTGTCCATACTTGGCTGGGTATGCTTGTGTAGATTTCAAGTCTTTACCACCGGAGACTTTCCGTACCCCGTGGACAGTCCTGACCTTCACAATCTCTTTGCCGGCAGCAGCCTGTTTCCGAGCGAGCTCCTCGCGCTTCCGCTTTGTCATCTTGATTTGCAGATGGTGCATCCAGGGCCTTGCAATACTAGGACTGGAGTCCAGAACATGCCAGAAACCCCTACCATGTGCCCACATTAGATCCACAACTCCGAATTGCATGCTAGAGGCGTCGTGCCAATGGCCACCTGTGGTTTCACAGATAAACCGCCGTAGGAGCCCATCCACCTTGGAGCATGGTCGGCATGATTCTCCTTTAACATTTAGTGTAATACTAGTAGTCGTCGTCGTCGCAGTTGTAGTAGTGGCAATTAGTAGCAGCAGCAGTAGTGGTAGCACCAGTAGTGGGTTCCATGACAGTACTAGTGCTAGCAGTAGCAGCAGCAGTAGTAGTAGCAGAAGTAGTAGTAGTTGTTCTTGTTGTTGTTGTTGTAGTAGTACTAGTAGTAGTAGTAGTAGTAGTAGTAGTCGTAGTAGTAGTGGTAGTAGTAGTAGTAGTAGTAGTGGTAGTGGTAGTGGTAGTGGTAGTGGTAGTGGTATTGGTGCTACTACTACTACTACTACTACTACTACTACTCCTGCTGCTGCTGCTGCTGCTGCTGCTACTAGTACCACTACTACTACTACTACTACTACTACTACTACTACTGGTGGCAGTAGCAGTAGTATTAATTTTAGTAATCGCATTTTCTCAGCAGTGCTAGCAGGGTAGATAAACAGCAGCAGTAGCAGTAGTAGTTCATGTTGTTGAAGGAGCTGCAGTTGTTGTGGTTGTAGTGGAAGTACAAATACTCGCACTAGTAGGAGTTGAGTCGGAGTCGGTAGAAAACAGCACTCCTCCTGTGCAATAGCAGTGGCAGTAGCCGTGCCAGTAGCAGCAGCAGGAGTAGTAGTACTAGCAGTAGTCAGCAGTAGTAGCCGTAGTTAGTAGTAGTAGTAGTAGTAGTAGTAGTAGTAGTAGTTGTTGTTGTTGTTGTCGTAGTACGTACTACAACAACAACTTCATCAACAACTGCTAGAGTGGTACTTGTAGTGGTGGTAGTCCAGCACATAGTACTTGCAGAAGTAATTGTTGCGAGTGTTGTTGTTCTTGCTGCTGCTGTTGTCGTTGTTCATATTGCACGGTGGTTTTGGATGTGGTCGTGTGTCAACATTTTGCCGAAGCTCTCTTCAAATACTCCAAAAGGTCATTAGGCATCCTAAACCCTACTTGGCTGCCTAGGGGTCGGGAGTAAGGACCCATTCCCGCGAAGTCTGAATCCCATCCCCGAGATCTGAAATTATCCATTATGAACCTAACCGCATGTATAGTTGCATACACCACTAGATTCACTGGTGGCTTCAACGGCTTCTTAATCTTCAGCAACAACCATGTAGTAAATGCACCTGCTGAACAGGATCCATCTGGATTGCAATTGCCAGAAGTCCGCATTCTTAGGGGAGTTTCGGAGTTCTGCTTAAGCCGCTAACGATAAGGGCATCCTGTCCCCACCCCCACAGGCCTCATTCTTGTGGGCGCCACACCAACATGACAAATTCCACACTGGCAGCACCAACAGGACCAGGACTACCTATCTATGTACGAGTACTACTACTACTACTAGTACCAATAATGCTGCTACTACTACTGCTGCTGCGGCTGCTTCTACAACCACTGCGACTACCACCACCACCCGCACCACTACCACCACCACTATAACTCCTCCTCCTGCTGCAACTACTACTACTACTACTACTACTACTATAATAATGTCTTCTACTACAGCTTCTGCTACTACTACTACTACTACTACTGCTGCTACTACTTCTACTGCGACTTCTTGGTCATATTAGTCCTGAAGTGATTGCCGGTGACACTGAGTGTCTGACCAATTAGCAAATTGCCCTCCAATCGGCTTGGCCAATATGTACTTCAGCGGGGGCAGCAATGACAAATGCGTGCAGCGAGGGTTCTCAATCATCCACTTCACATTCCGAACTATTGCCAGTAGACACAGAAGCATGAACCTGCATCCCAAAGCGTTTCCATCATAAACGAATGGGAGCTTCTCTTCACCCCAGGGAGAAGTAGCCGATCTATGGTGTGTCCCAGCAGACATAAAAACGTAGCTGGAGCAGGGAACTGCCCCATAGAACAGACCCAGCTCCACTAGGCGAAGCACACCACGGCAAGCCGTCACAAACCCACCGGGGCGAAGAAGATCTTGAAAGACACAGTCGTTCTCTTTTTCGAAACCTTGCCTCAGTAGATTAATCGGTATCTCGAGAACTATGTTAAGGTGACTCATCCAAGCTCCCAAGTCCCAACATGTTGCCATACGTTTGATGCCCAGATTCGCATTGTGATTGCGGGCTCCTTGGGTAGCAGGTTATCGTACTTTGTTTATGGACCTACTAGGCCTAGAGGGTGTCAAGTCTGGCATGTACTAGTAGTACAGGTAAGGCTCGGAAACCCTTGACCACGGCGCCCACGCCAGCGAACATCTCGTAGCAGGACAAGTCCTGGGCGGCAGTTGTTTGAAACGGCTATAGAATAGATGTAGGCCTCTCAAGACGTCCCTATATTCGATTATTTCAGATCATTTCACACTTAGGGGCTCGGTGCGCTTCTGGCCGGACATTAGCAGCGACATAGTCCACGATGTGGACCCTTAGAACCGAACAGGTGGTACATGCCTATATGTAGACACTCATGATATGAGAAACATGCAGGACATGAGCATAGCGTGTTACAGGCAAGCAGCAGCACAGGTGGTGCCCCAAGAGCCAACAAGGCACAGACCTGTAGCCTCGTAAGGCCAATAGCTCTGCGTGCAGCATCCATGGCCCCGGACTAGGACCCTCAGCAGCAAAGCCTGCCAGCCTGGTATGAGCCATGCATGCAGTGTACATGCTGACCACTTGCATTTGCAACATTACACACACATCTCCAGCACGAGGCTCACATGGTACAACTAGACGACCTGCAAACTTATATTGCATTGCAACATTCGAGTCACAAAATATAACTAGCATAGAAGAGCACACCACACCATATGATGAGGGACCTCTAATCATAGTAGTATGACTTCTAGCATCCAAGCCATCTAGAGGCAGCCAGAGCAGCTAGTCTTGCTATCCAACAGCTAGTACATGACTACACCCCTGGAAAGCTCCACGAAACAAAAGCCTGACTGTGGCACAGAGGGCGTACCGGCTACCCCCGACCGGCTGGATCTGGATCCATCACCTGCGCACAGCACTCATGCAGTAGTTCAGCTTTCAGGTGTCCATCATGAGACTCAGAAGCCCAAGCTGAAGATTGGCAGATGGCTTTATTTTGTAATGCTCAGCGAGGCACAGATCTAGTCGGACAGGCATCATGTCTGCAAAATTGTCCGTACACCCTCTTGAAATGCAGTGCATGCGAACATCCAGCATCAGAAGTCAAGCCCCTTGCATTTTATTGAGTTGTAAATATCAGGTGCTTCGAGAGGATACCGCATACACACCCTACAGTGGCCCTACAGGGATCACGACATCAGCTGTCCGTGTTAAACATCTCGGCCATCTCTGTAGCATTTGCTGCTGCAGCCAGTCGCATAGATACCTGGCTCGGTAAAATATATGAATCATGGATCCGGATCCTAAGGCTCAGCTTCTGCAGACCGACAGTCGTGTGAAAGCAATATTTGAAGGAAGACAAAAAGTGCAAGTGACCAAAGTCGGGGAGGTCCAACCAGCCACGGCTTTGGCAAGCTCCCACCTGGGCAGTGTATTTCGGTTCATACTAATATTTATAAATTCTCTATCGCTGTCGTACACCATACTAGCTTATAGGCTTGTTCCGCTACATGCTATGTTGTTTATGCATATATGGGGATGGTTTCTTAGACTAGCACTTCGCATGTGTTGGGTGTTTGGTCTCGACACTCCTGTATTTCGGCTGTGTAGGACCAAGCAGTGCAACACAATTAACTATTTTAGTACTGCAGTATAGTACATATCGGCAATAGTTGTGGCGATCCCCCGAACATGCATTTAAATGTGAATGATGCCTTCCTGGAAATCGTAAAAGCAAGTTTATTGATAACCAATAATCCTGAAGCTGATATTTACTATATAAACCTAGATCTGGTGAGAACATATCCCTTGCTATATATATATATATCATGTTGCAGCCACACCGCGCGACACTCACAGTCGGACTCTTGTTCCACCCGATCGTTGCACCACCCTTGCGATCGACCTCAGACGAGGGGGGGGGGGCGGTGTGCAGTATGCCTTCGATGCACATGCAACATAGCTACAGCCACGACCTACACAGAGAAAATCAGGGATTTAGGGCTTAGTGTTTAAGGCTTACAGGGCTTAGGGTTGTTGTCACAGCAGTTGGGGAGGCTATATCTGGCAGGTTGGTTTTTTAAGAAGATGTTCTTTTGCAACCAAAAGCACATGTGCCCACGTCTGCAGCTCCTCGGCCACCCTGGCCTTTAGCACGTAAAAAAGATTTTTGTCGAGGATGATGCCGATCGGGCTCGCTTCCGAACCCAAGGCTCCTTTCCCCCTCTTCAGGGGCGGATAAATCGTGTACGATTGTCGATCAAACCCGGGCTCCGGGAGTTCGAAGCCAGGCAAAGGGAACTTGCAGTCCTTGAGGAATGCAAGATTTCGCCGGGCAGAGTCAAGGCAGCTCTCCTTTCTCTTCTTGGCCGTCTGGGTCAAGAACGACCCCTTCTTCCCATTAATCATCTTTCGAGGAGTTTTCATCTCGGCCTCCTCGGGCTTAGGCTTAGCCTTCGCTTTGCTCTTGGATGCCACCCGAGCCTTTGCCTTGGACGTCGCTTCCTTCTTGGCCTTCTTGATCGGGGCCTCCTCAACCGGTGCCGGCTTGGAAGTCTTGCCACGCCCGCGGCCACGGCCAGCACCTCGACCACCAGCCCCGCGACCGCGGGAAGCTGTGCTCTTGTCCTGCCCTTTGCTGTTACCCTGACGCCCACGGCCTCGACTGCGACCACGACCCCGGCTCTGGTTGTCTTTGCGCTTGTCGATTTTCGCTTGGGCTTTGGCGATCTCTGCCTTTAGAAGCCTAATAAACTCAAGTGTTCGAACCACCTGTATAGCTGGCATTGTAAATGTAGACGCACTATAAAGAAACTTACATGCTAATGAATTTGAGAGCAAATACTGTATGCACCTCCTCCCGAACACCCTTTTGATCCATCACCAAGCTGGCAGGAACTGGAGGCACCTTTCCATCAGCTTTCCAACTTGGGACCCACACAGGGAAGTTCGGGAGCTCACGGGCGACCTCGGGAATCAAAGGCGGTCGCCTCCAATTCGGACCCAGTTCTGGCATCTTTGCCACTTCCATCGTTGGGGGCTTCTTGGATGGCAGGACACCACAAACATATGATCATCTGGCTTTAAGCAAACTTCATGCTGTTTGCAACCTCGAAACCGGGTCCTTCAAGGCATCCCTCTCAGCAGTATTCAACATATCTCGCGGAGACCGGTACCCATCATCGATACCCGTGCATTCAGCAGAGCCAGGCAGAATCACACTGAAGGGCACTGTGGAAGGCGTCTCACCCTCTGGCGGCGTCAAGTTGGGTGGTGTTGTCATGCGCTTGCGCAAAGCAGGCTTCCGGGGGGTTTTCACCTAGCACAAGGCGTCCCACTAACATGACCAGGTAACTTCAACATGCACATGCATGCACACATATTGCCACCAAGTGTGTTTACCCCGAGTGCCTGGTCAAACATCGGCCCCAAATCCTTTGCCATAGCATCCGAAGCGAAATGGCCAGCCTCCATACCGGCAACTTCCTCGCGCATGCGTGACAGCACGGCCTCCTGAATGGCAATGTTTAAAGCACCTTGGGGTTATGTTGCAGTTACACCGACCTCTCTAGTCGGGTTGCTGGTTTAAGGTTTATATTTAGAGCAGAGGGCTGTTTGCATGGTTCAAGGTTTCCTGGGTGTCAAGCAGGTAGGCTGATATAAAAGTTCCGTCTGTCGATATGTACATATGAGGTTTACTACGGGCTTTGTCTGGGTGCAGCCATGAATCAAAACGGTCGCAAGGGCTCATAAGAAGTATGGTTTTAGGATGTGCAGCAGTCAAAGATCCGGAACAAGTTCCCCTTTTACCTGCAACAAGAACCATGCACAGCAGCGTGTGACAGCATCATTATGATCCCCCCCTCCCCCTCCCTAAATCACCCCACAAGATGCCCCCCCTATCAAATCCGAACACAAGTCACCAATTGTTAAAACTTGAAACCTGCAATAAACATATTAGTGTAACTTCTTGCAACTCCAGGCCTAAACCCTCAACCTTACCCCCTTTTAAACAACCTTAAGCCCTAACACCTAAACCCTAGACCCAACATCAAAATTCTAACCGTATACCATAAACCCTGAACCTCCTCAAGCCCGCCCTCTAAACCCCATAGATTCAAGCCTATATTCGAATATCATATATATATATATATATACATATATATATATATACATGCATGAAAATACATAGTATGCACACACGAGCACAACATGACTTGTGTCATGCATTGCATATATATATATATATACATAGGAAATAATATATGTATATATATATACATGTATATTATTATGCATATGTACAGCATTTGAATATAGATAACAAATTTTTTTTTTAAAAAAAAAGGTGTAGATACCATATTAGATCCATTGTATGTTCGTCGTTATATTACATACTGCAACATGATACATGTGCACATGCCTCTAACCACTGAACGAAATGCATAAAACCCATGCTCACCTCCTCCGGGGTCTTGTTGGACAGTCCATGCACACTTCGTGCTGGCGTCGAGAGCTTGGCATGTTGGAGGGGAACAGGGCTTGCCTCCTGCATGCATTACAAGGGAAATTCTCGCACACCAGGGAATCATATTTAGTTACAGAATACCAATAACTGCCTCATGCAGCAAATCCTGTCCTCCTCAGTCAAGTAATCATGCTGCAAATCTTCCGGGAATTCCCATTCCCCTCGCGACACAATCTGAAGATCCATCTCAGCTGGCAACTCCGAAGCTGAGACAATCTGACCAACCATGTCCGGCTCCAGCTGAGGTGACTGAGCTGCTGCTTCTGATCCCGATTCCTAGGCTAAAAACACATCCACTGAAATTGAACAGCACAGGCACAAAACAACCCTTGCAGGCAAACATCGGGCCCATCTGGGAACTCCCAAGCCTCCCGAGCTCGCGAAGCGATATCATCAAGCATAACCATATCCGGCTCCAGCACAGGTTTCTGAGCTGTTGCTTCTGCTCCCGATTCCTAGGCCGCAACAACTGGCAATACTGAAACTGGCAATGCTGAATCCTCCGAAACCACGGGCCTGGGCCACCGTGTTGTCATGACCCGTCGGGTCGGTGTCAGCAGCAGGTGCTGACCATTCCTAGGGCTGGAAACAGTATTGATTTATGTTTCAAGTTCTAGCTATATACTGCAGAATATATCTCAAGCTGGATTCCACATTACTTGCAAGCGAAACTCAGTGTAAAGCTCAGCTCGCTCACTTTCTTGAGCACGTCTCTTTAGCTTGATGATGGTTTTAAGGACCATTATCTTGGCCGAACGCGCCCCGCCCGAGCTTCTGGATTCTTGCCGCAGAATCCAGGCAATTAGCGACTTGACGATCGAGGCTTGTCCCTCCGCCCAGGACCTTATTCTTCCCTTTCCGCCTTTCAGCTGGAATTCAGATCCAGCAAATAGCGTGACGGCTAGCAAGCCGAGTGCAGCCTTAAACACACGAAAGCAAGCATGCTGACACAATGTCCACCTATGTCCATGCAGTCAAAGAGCTTGAAAGTCGGCAGCGCTTGGCATGTCAGGGCCAAGCTCTAGCAGATATTCTTTGACAAGCGGATAGTTGGGGCCGGTCAGATCGTCTTGATGTACCTTACATGCAATTGCTCACCTACTAATCAACACTAGTTGCCGATGCTTGTCACTGTGATTTCTACTGCTACTGACCTGCTGGTTGCTCCCAGCCATGGGTCCGTGCTCTACTGCGTGCTATCCACAAACAAAACCGTCAACCTCCCATTTAATTATTATTATATAATAATATTTTATATTATTTAAGAGCACACGTTCAAACACCACACCAGACCACAGCACTATAATTGAGATCAGTTGCAACACTCCGGTCCGACTCCCAAACCACGACTTGTCGATCCTAAGCCGCAGAGCACCACCCTCAGCACATCCCCACAGTAAATATGGCAGCAGGCTACTCAAGCTGCATGCAAAGTGTCATTATCTGCCATGATGCCTGGCATCAAGTGCCTCTGCACGTGGGCCTGCAGAACATTGTAGATCCGCTCTGCAGTTGCCTGGGATTAAGGAACTGCCATTGTTGTTTATTGCACTCCTCAGTTTCATGAGAACTTGCATTGGATCTTTCCCACCGGTCTCCACTGCTATCGATGCTATGAAGCCGCACTGATATGGAGCCGGAAGGGCTCGTAAAGATGTTTCATCCCATGCTCATCGGCATCAGAAAGAAAGGCCATGGTATGGCCACGGCAAGCCCCTAGGCCTACCGGCTTTGACAAAAAGCTGCTGCAGCATTGCCTCTAATCAGCCTTCAACATCAAGTCTGAAGCTCCAGAGCTGCATGCGACATCAACACAAGTGCAACACATCCCTTCGGAGGGGGGGGGAAGCACCTCCGGATCGTCTGTGCTGCAATCGCACAGCTGCTCGGAGCAGCCCCATGTGTTCGAGAGCGAGACAAAACTGGTGGTTCAACTAAAGCTTTGTCCCATGACCGATGCAATCAGCCGTGTGTGCTTCTACATTGACCCTCCATCTACTGACCAGTCTCACTGGGCTTGAGAACAGGAGCCGGACGCCAGCACGTCTCCTGCACGTACACGGGAACATAAGCCCCCATGTCTCTCTATTTGAGGACTTTGCTGTGTACTCCTGAGCGGAGACATGGACCCTCAGGG